TGTGCCGAGGCAAGGCTTAATGTACTGCTTAAAAAAAGTCCAAGACTTCCGCTACCAGTCAATAATGTATGTGACCCCTGTCCACCCCTCCTCTGCTTCTCTGACAGCAGTTGTTATAGCTCAGCTATATATGACAGCTTTCACTAACTTTCAGGGCTTTAGTGTTGCATTCATAATGGATAGGAATTTGTTAAGGTCAGTGGCTTCAACCGTCGGGAACCGTACCGCACAGAAAGTACAGCGCAAGAACAATAGGCCAATCAAGTTGACAGCTAAATGAGGGGGATCGTTTATGAACTTTTGAAAGTGTAAACAAGCTGAATCCTTTGTCAGGCAAATCATAATCACAGGATGTCAGATAATGAAAGGGGGTAGATGAGTGCAAATGTCAGAGAAATGGACTGGGCGGGAGGAAGGGGGCGGGTGGAAAAATGATGAAATATGAACGGAAATTGTGTTTAATTGAGGGGGAAGAGATTGCTTCAACTCACGCAAGGGAACTGGGGCAAAATTAGGAAAGTAAGATTTTGTTCAGGTTCAGAAAAGTTGGTTGTCAGAACCAAAGACAGGGACACAAGGACACCCAAACACACATACATTTCAATACATTTCTTCTGTACCTCAGACATTTCTCTCTGTTAGGACATCATACCAATTTCTTCCTCGTAGGCATGGTTTTCTGTGTTAATATACATCACCTGAGCCAACCTGACAGCTTCCGAGTATCACAGGAAGCACTGGAAAAGCAACAGGGGCTAGATGTGAACTTGTTAACACAACACATTGCTTCCTGTGGTTTGATTTAGGCCAAAAACAAATCGACAAATAAAATGAGCCTGGGGGAATTAAGAGAAAATGGAGCCTGACCCGGACGAGACCAGTTGGGTTGGGCCTAATCAGGTTTGTGCTGAGAATCAAAGCTCTGTAGTGAAGACAGAGACCCGCAGAAACACATCAGGGATCTGTAATCAGGTAGAGATGCCAGACTCTTCTTCTAGCGCTAACAAATCTAATCCAGTCACCACGGCAAGTCTTGTTAGCTCTGTGTGTTCAGCTTTTACCCTGTCAGCTACAGTGAAGGCTCGTGAATGTGTGCGTTTGTGCATGAGCCTGTGTGTCTGTTTTCGGGGAGACAACAGGGCCTGCCTCTCTGACTGTGTCAGTTTAATTATTGCTGTCATCTCGTACCGAGCCTGAGCCTCGGCAGAATGACTTGAGCAAAAAAAAAAGGAAGTCATTTCCTCTCTCTTTTTAAAACTGCATCATACACTTTGGCAGGACCACCTATTGACAAAGAGACATGGCAGGCTCATTTGAATATATGCGAGACACACGCAAACACACGCAGACATGCAGCTCACACATTAGCGTACGCCCACAGCAACACAACATGCACACAAAGACAAACACACCACCTGGAGTGTTCATTCTCGTGATATGCCGGAATTGAAATTCACAGGAGTGAGTTGTACCTACTTATCTCTAATCTGTTTTTCCAATTGAAAAACTCCCTGCTACTATGCAAGTTATTTTTACCCTAGAGCTTTAACTCCCATCTTCCTGCATGGTAAGTTACACTACATGAATGATATGCCAGAATAGATTATCCGCATGTGGGAATCAAGTGTTTAAATGTTCAGCAGAGTGCAGCAGAGATTAAATTATTGTTGGCCATGTATGATTAAGACGTAATGTTGTGTAATTTTTTACACTTTTTTTTAATTAAAGGCAGTCGTTTTTGTTTTTCCTATCTACACATATGACAAATTAACAGACTTTCAGTCATAGGTGAGAGAAATTATATATTTCACAGGCCATCTCACAACTGCATATTGATAGATACACAAACACACATGCCGTACATACATGTACTCAAATTCAATTTCAGATTACAGAGTTCATCACGCACACACTGACATAATTGCATACTCTCACATACAATGATTGACATTTGCAAAAGCGGCTGCGAGACAGAATAGGTCAAAGGGCTAATATCTTAACACGTGTCAACTGAGAAAAACATTAACACTCAAGCATGCACACAAAAATACACACCATCACCCACTCACAAATGCTGAAAAGTGTGTTTCTATCGACGCTGCTTTCACAGGCGGCGTCTGACATTTCGCTGGGAGTGTGAGGCTAAGCATTCAGACCTTTAGAGAATGTTATTCTCTCATTCCTCTCTCATCCTCCCTTTATACCATCATCCTTATCTTTGTTTGTTCCTAGAGCATGCTTTTGTTGTGGATTTCCAGCAGAAGGACCTGGCCGATATTTTGTCTCTCCATGCCCGGATGCACACACAGATATATACACAGGAATAAGAGTTTCTTGTTTGATTTCAAAGAAGATCTGAAGATGTCCAGGCAAGAGAGGACACAGAGGCATCCACTGTGTCTTCTGCTGTTCTCCGTCAGACCAGGAAGGAAGGAAGCAGAACAAACATGAATCAATAGCCGAACGGAACCAGCACAGAATGATATGCAACGATATGCAGTGGCCAGGTGTGTTGCTATGGTGAAGGAAATGATTGGCCAGGCTCTAGATTACAGTGTTCACTTCCCAAAACAGCCTGCCTGCACACACAGTGGCAGCACAACACACACACAACCTCACACATGGCTCAGCTGAAATAAGCCGGCTGATTGCAGTAGTTTTACGGGTAAAGCCATTTGAATGGAAATGCGAAATGGAAGTGCATTACCAAAACTCATAGACACCAGGACCAGCTGTGAATGAGAGAAATTACTTGCTATGAGAACATACCATGTGCATCACAGTTGGAAGTAGAAATAAGTGCTTGTGTGTGTGTGTGTGTGTGTGTGTGTGTGTGTGTGTGTGTGTGTGTGTGTGTGTGTGTGAGAGTGAGAGAGAGATCCCTGTGAGTCAAGCTGTTACTCAGGCCCAAAAACCTTCCATCAAGTCCTTCACCTTCACCTTTAGCCTGTTTGAAATGCCGCTGTTTGCCAGCCATTATTAGCGTAATATTTTTTTTTTTTTTTTACTGAGCACAGTTTCAGGCAGTTACAAGTTCAACCATCATTAGCAACACCAAAGCCCCTCATGGCACAGGTCAACACCTTCAGTCATGCCCTTAATTATGCATAACTTATGCATAATTAACTAACTATAACTAACTAAGCCTTGATGTGATTTAAACGTGTGAGTTATATAAAAATTCAACCTCCTGTACAGCTGTCATGAACGGGAATTAAGCTGTAGAGACCGAAGCAGCTTTTGGTCCAGGTTGTAAACATATTTACTCCTGCTGTAAAGTTGGGCATTTTAAAATAGGGCCTTACGTAGATTGACCCACGTCTGTAGCCAGCCTCAAGTGGCCGTTCGGGGAACTGCAGTTTTTGTTACTTCCGTGTTGGCTTCATTTGCCAGCTACTGAGGTTGCCACTTGCTCATTATAAGACAACAAACTCATACAGAAACCCCACCTCCTGTTGCGTTACAAAGCATGATTTAACCCATAATATTGTGCTGGTCCCAAACAAATCATCAAAGTCACCAGCATCACACAAAATGCCTCCATAACCATCTACCCCCAATCTTTCAAACATGATCGACAGAGCCGTGACACGTCTTACACGCATAATAGCAAATGACGCTTATCGGCCCCTCAGTCCCTCGCAGATATAGGACTTTAAAATGGAAATAGCTTGCTTTGGCAGGAGCTTGATGCCTTCTGCCATAGCAACTCCAAACAAACCGCCTTGTGGACCATGTTTGTAAAGATATACAGTAGAATAATAATATGTGTGTCCATATACATATATATATATATATATATATATATATCTGTATGTTTCTGTGTGGGATATGTGCAGGCTGTGAAAACAAAACTCCTATGGGTACACATAACACACACATATTTACTATTGCTGAATAGTAAATATGTGCTGTTTTCTCAATAGTGAGGATTTGCTGCTTTTTGCTGTTTTTATACAATAATTGTGAAATGAATTATTTTTCACTATTTTCATTTATTAAAATAATCGATTAATTGTTGATGCAGAACAAAACATTTATTATTTGAGAAAAATCATGACACATTAATTTATAAAAAATAATCCCTAATAAATCCCTAATATTTATCTCTGTCACACATGCACACACTTTTTTGTGTTTGCACACAAAACACACACTTATGCATTAAAAAATGCATTGCGTTATTATTGACTTGAATGAGATGTGCTTCACAAGAAAACCATCCACATACTGTATCCTGAGCATGAAGGTTGGATTCTGGTTCATATTACACTGTAATATTTCTCTCTGCGGTTTGCCACTGCACAAAAGATGCAAGTCATAAAGCAGGGAGAACTTTACTTTAAAATAGACCACACAAGTAAAATATTTCCATGATTATCTTTCATTTGAGAATGATGACAATGACATGTTGCCTGCTTTAGACAAAAAAGAGGAGAGAGAGAGAGAGAGAGAGAGAGAGAGAGAGAGAGAGAGAGAGAGAGAGGATAATGTTGAGTCAAAGGCACACAGATACCCGCATCACCCTACAGGCACACACAGCAGACGGTAGCAGCAAGAGGGCGATGATGAAGTGTGTTTGTGTGTGTGTGTGTGTGTGTGTGTGTGTGTGTGTGTGTGTGTGTGTGTGTGTGTGTGTAAAACAGCATGAGCTGATGATGGAGTTTGTTGTGGTAGTGTCCAAAGAACCTGAGGCAGTCATTACCTCTACTGCTGAACCATTTATGAAAATAGCCTCTTTTCACAAGATGGCCAAATGTCGGTCTGCTATCTGTGTCTGTATGTATGTGTGTGTGTGTGTGTGTCCTTAGGGGTTGTACAGAAGTGTTGCTCTAGTGCTAAGGGGTACTTCTAAAGCCCGTTGTAAAGCTACTTTCTGCATGGATGTTTCTCTGCCTATTATTTTTTGACCCACTAATCAATTCACTTTTGTACTAAAACTATTACACATCTCCCTCCCATTTCCTTCCTCCCTTCTTCTCTCCTCTCTCCTCCTCTAGAGACTAGTAGAGGCGGCAGAGGAAGCCCACCTACAGCACGAGGAGGATCCAAACCTACAGGTATGTGTATATGTGTCCTCTGGATCTACATTCTGAACACACAAAGATTACTGCAGTCAACGTGTTCACTCCCTGTTCTTGTAAGCTCATTAATTAAATCATGCTGAAAATAATTTATCCGCTTCTGAGATTGAGCGTCAGTGAGAGAAAAGGCCCAGCAAATGACAAGGGCCTCTGTAAACACATCAGGGGAGAAACAGGGAGAAAAGGCATTAGGAGTCTTGTTCTGTTGTCTGTTTCGCTTGACTAGGCTTAACAGTCTCCTTTAAAAGGGTATGTTAGTCCACATCTCTCTATAATCATTTTGTCAGCATATGTCTCGGCCTGCCACTGTCAGGTATTTACAGTCCTACAGGAGCAGACGTCCTGAAAAATATGCATACAAAACGAAATTCTATTCATGTAAGTGTTTTTTTTTGTTTTTTGTTTTTTTTTAATTGATAAGGGTTGGGGTACGACTAACACCAAGCAAAAAATCCACACAATCCCTGATCTGTTGGTGATCATTTATTGTGCATTCATGGGTCCAATCCATCTTGTTTAATGACTCTAGGGATAATGATGAGATGTCACATTGAGCCAGTTCTAGCAATCTAAATAGACAGGTTTCTGAGCGATGTCATCAGTGAGATGTGGGGGGGTGGAAAACAAATCAGAAGGTCTGAGAGCATATGAGGAGATCATGAGGAGTTGTTTTTTTTTGCCATTGTGGAAGTAATGTGTAAAAAATGTTCAGTATCTCAAGAAGGAAGCTTCACTGTTAGCATAGCACATAGTGATCTGTACTTTAAATTAGTAAAGTACTGGAAGGTAGTGGATAGTTTTGCACACGTCCTGAATTTAACAGCGCTCATACCGTTACCTTCTGCATGTTTATAGCTGTTAAATGAATTGTGCCAACATTTGTCAGGCTCTGTCAATGCTGGTGATTGGTTTCACATGCATTTACAAAAAATGTTTTGGTAATGTGAGGATATGTGCCACATACAAATATACTCCTAAAGAGTAATTTTACTGGTTTCCAGCAAGTTGCTTTGTTTCTAAATTCAGAAAATTTATATATAGGCTATCATCATGTTGTGGCAACAAGTTCTATACCTTCCATGGATCCTCAATTGTTTGTATGTACTAACTGGGAAACACATCATTAGTACTAGATGTCAATGTTCACTAGTTTTTGCCCATATCTTTCTTCTATATTGGTAGCTAAAGGCAGAAGGTGAAGAGGCAAAGGTCACAATTTTTTTTCACTGACAGCATCCAGTGTTTCATAGTGCTGTTACAAGTCATGTTTTGTTCATATCAGTTGCTTTAAACAGATATTGACAACTTGCTTACACTGAAACTTCTTTTTTACAACCTGGGTGCTACAGATGCCTAAACATACATGTTAGTAATGTATGTCTGACTTCAGCTGTCGCTATAATAAAGGCAATAAAAAGCCCCAAAAATATATATAAAAAAATCAGATGAGATGGATATTTAAGGGGAAACCCTGGGGTATTTGTAGTCCAAATCATATGTCTCAGTAGTACAAATATACCGCTCAGTTCAAGGCATCATAATTGTGCGTACAGATACACAATAGTAGCAACTAAAGATTGAAATTGTATGTTGGAAGCACCTTCTGTATTTTGTCAGAGGTGAATTAATCCTCATGTTTTTATGCCAGAAGTTACTGTGTGACAAACACATCCTGAGTTTGAAACATAAATCGTGAATTATTTATGGTATTATATCACCGTCGTATTCCTATTCAAAACCTCAACACATTTTTAACTATTCCCTGGGAGTTCCACCCTCAGTTCTGCAAACTTGGGCAAATACATTCAGCTAATCATATCTGCATACACACCCCCAAACCCAGCCTCTGCTCGCATGTTTCTGCCTCAAATCCATTTGAGCAGGTTTAATTTTTAGAGTGCAGCTTTATTGTGTGTGTGTGTGTGTGTGTGTGTGTGTGTGTGTGTGTGTGTGTGTGTGTGTGTGTGTGTGTGTGTGTGTGTGTGTGTGTGTGTGTTGTGTGTGTGTGAGCCAGAGAAGGAGAGAGAGAGAGAGAGAGAGAGAGAGCACTTGTGATGTTTTGAGTTCGCTGCGCATCGTGCACATCTCGGAACAGAGTTTATTAAAGTAGGAGGAGCGACAGCAGAAACTTGAGTTTTAAAGAGGAAATATGATGCTAAGCCGACTTGGGAGTATTTGCTGCTAAACTACTTATAAAGTCTGTGGCGTGTGTGTTATGTGTGCCTGTGTCTCTGCCTGTGGCGGTGAGTATGTGTTTACTCTGTCAGCTCTTTAAGGCATTACAGTGAATGGCCTAAGGTTTGTTGCCATCATGGGCCATTAAGGAGGATCAATTACTAAATTTAACCACTGACTGCTTCCACTCGTAGTGCCCCCCGTCTTCTTTTTCTTCCTTTTTTTATTTATTTTTTGGTCACCTGCCTGATTGTCCACATGCTCTGCAATTTCCCCCTCTGTGCTTTAAAGGAAAATCCCGCCCTGTAACACTAACAATGCTTCAAAGAGGAGCGGGACTTGGCATGCGTTGGTCTATTTATTTTGGGTTTATAATTAACTGGATAACTGGTGAAAATTAATTGGCAACTTTTTAATGATAAAAATAATTGTTCAACCCATTTTTAAGCAGAAACCACAAACATTCTTTGTTTCCAGCTTTGCTAATGTGGGGACAGCTTTTTCAGTTGTTATATCATTGTAAATTTAATATTTTGGTATTGGACTGCTGAACATGCCACTCTGGGCTTTGCAATATTTGATTTCATTTTTAAGATCAAACAATGAATCACTCAGAAAATAATTGGCAGATTATTTGATGAAGAAAATAATCATTAGTCACAGGCCTGTCGAAAACACAACATGGTGAGATTTAGTGCCCCTAAGAATCAGCAAGTGCTTCAAATCATTCATCAAATTTCACATTTTGCACTTAAAGATTCAGTGTGTAGGATTTAGTGGTATCTAGCTGTGTAATTGCAAATTGCAACTCAGTCACTTCACCCTCCCCTTCAAGCATGAAGGAGATACTATGGAGAAAAATGCAAACGCCCCTATTTAGGGCCAGTGTTTGGTTTGTACATTCTGGGCTACTGTACTGTAAATAATGTTATAAAGAGTTCGGTCTAGACCTGCTCTATTTGAAAAGTGTCCTGAGATAACTTCTGTTATGAATTGGCGCTATACAAATAAAATTGAATTGAATTGAATTGAATTGTAGAAACATGGCAATTCAACATGGCGGAAGCAGCAAATACACCAGGAGACCAGCCAATAGAGAACATTTCATGGCAAAAATAGTTTTTCTTTGCGTGTGTGAGTGCAAACTATGACCCTCTTCTTTTCACCTGACAGTGATACACACATTCACTGTCTGTTATCAGTTTAAAGAAACATTTAATACAACTTAACACACACCGTAGTAACACAACAATTGATTGGTTACTAAAGAGTAAATTGGGAGATGTTGCAAACTGCCAAATATATATATATATATATATGTAAATGTACGGTTCCCTGTACAGGTTTATCTGTTAGTGTACTCTGTATGTCTTGATGTAACTTACTTTCTGTACATGTTGTGTGTGACTGTGTGTGGTTGTTGATGCACAAGTTTGCATGTAAACAAAATTGCCTTCATAGATACATGTATTTGCTCGTCATGTATTCATCTATAAAGGCAATTTTGCATGTTCTTTTGGACATGTGTTTGTGCCTCTCTTTGTATGTGTCACTCGGTGACGCTTGTCAGTGTGTGTTTGTGTTTTCATATGCTGCTTGAGGGGCGGTAACACTGTGTGGGCTCACAGCGGTGCTTTATGCCAGTAATTACTTGGCGGCGATGAGATGAGCCTAGAAAAGTGAGTGTCCTTTTGTTTCAGCTTTAATGACATAGCTACAGAGCTGATACTGGCTGATAGAGAGCCTGTACTGTAATGTAGAGTTTCACAATGTCTAGGACAGAGTGAGTTACCATTATCCGGCCAAAATACCTCTACACAAGAAGATTATACCAGCATACCTGTATTATGTGCGTGGTATGCCAAAAATATGAGAATGGGAAATAAACAAAAGTAGGAAGAGGAAGGGGAGGAAAAAGGATGAAAGAAAAGGGGATTAAGGAGGAGAAAATGAACATGATAATGACAATTACATTTACCTGGCAGATGCTTGTTGGCATGGTGTGTGCCCACAGTAATAGCATCTAGTTTAATCAGAGATTAATGTAATGGCAGATGCAGTTGGTGTATGATGCAGAGTTACTTCATTACAGAGCTTAATTTCTAAACCTGAAGACCCACAACACAGATCCCTTGGCATGCAGTACCTACGCTCATTTCAGCACACAGCACAAATGCATACTTTCTGTAAACTGTGGGTCCTTCAGTAATACTGTGGCAAAATATTATACACCACAAAACAAATGTTCCCAATACACACTTTTAGAGTTTGGCTTGCTTAGGGTCTAACTGACTGACAGGTAAAGTTATGCTGACTGAAGTGATTAACAAGTAGCATCGATGGGAAATAAAGGAATGACAGAAATACTTACATCAGAAGTCCCTGTCCAAATGTGGGAGGTTCCGCATCATGTTCCATCACCCGTCACAAATGAATCCCTGCTTCACAAGCTTGGTCATCAGAATGAATAAAATAACAGGTTGCGTTTGCCTGTCTATCTTTCTGCATCCATGTTAGCGTGTGTGTTTGTCTGTGTTTATATTCGTGTTTGTGTGTTGTTATTCATCCTTAGTTAAGCAGGTTTTTCAGTACCTCTTGGCAAATTATGTCACAGCCATTAATTTGTCTTTGCTAATTGTGTTTTGAATTGACAGAGCATAAAATGAAATGGTTGAACATTCTTTATTTGTGATCACAAACTGCTGTAGCTTTTTTTTGGTTGCTGTTTGCATGCATTATTAATATGCGTGTGCATTTTCGCGAGCACCTGTATGTGTACACCTGTGTATGTGTGCAGGTGT